AGACCTCCGTGCTAACCCGAACATATCAGAACTTACACCTACATCAACAACTTACTCAATTTCATTTTCCACTCAAATAAATAAGTTGAAGTATTCTATTTTGAAGAGTTCAGACAAGAGATATTAATGAAAGTTAAGATAAAGGCAGTCACACCTTCTGTGTGTAATACAAACATGGTGCAGTATAGTTAATGGCGTAAACAATGTATAAGTCTATTTTCCATTTTAAGCATAGACAAGAGCACATATATGACCAAACACACTCAGAAAAAGAATGACATAATTCAACCGATAAAAGAGTTCTTGTCAAAACAGTATAGCAGTGTTCAGGATTTGCTTTCAGGATATTTTTTTCACACTCTATTTACGGAAAGCTACGCTCATTTATCGCTATCGTTGTGTTACCCTTATATTAAGGCTAGGTGTCTGCGAACCCATCCCGAGCATAGATAAGGAGGTGCCGATGGTAATGGTGAATATTAGTTATCAGTGCAGGAGCTGTGATATCGTCCCAATGCCTCTGGGTACTGATCAGGTCGATACACACATTTGGTGCGTCACAATGCTAGCTAGCACGGGGCTTTACGCGGTCTATTACCCCCTATATTACACACAGGAGGTCTGTTTCACAAATCAGAATCAAAATAATTCCACAATATTATTATTCTTGCAGGAAACATAAATTCATTGTATTTCTGTTCGATTGCTTTAATCCATTTCTAACCCAATTCAACTTGGAATTGCTGTTATTTAGTTTGTTATATAGCAGTGTTTTTGCTGGCCCTGCTAAACACGTTTGCATTTCAGAAACGTTCGACTAGACCTAGAGTAAATGGTTGAAGTTTTTTCAAACAATATATCGAACGTTTAATAAAGTAAGTAATCTGGCACAATGTGACCTGTGTACATACATGTAACGAACATTAAGTTACATTGCATCTCCATCAAAAGAATCTGAAAAAATAGGTATTATATAGCAATCGGTTTGTATAAACTATGTAATCATTAACTACATCTTTTTAGTAATTGTTAATTGTTTTATAGAGAACCTGATAAAATTACATCCAAATGCGAAATGTACTCAGGCGACCAATGTTACAAAATAACTCTTCTTATATTGGTCTCATTGGTTTCAGCCTGTTTGGAATTGAAGAGACAAAAACAAATCCATTGCATCAATTGTAATATCATGGTCATCCCTCCCGACGATTTAAAACGTAATGTCGTGGTAAAAAGCAAAGCAGTGACCTAATTCATATGTAAATCTACTTCATATGTTTAACTCAAGCGATGACATAAGGTACATAATAATTATACAACTAAATCTATTTGCTTTAATTATATTATTAACGCATTCTCTATGGCGTAAACCTGCAAAGACGACGCGTTAAACAAATGGGATGACTTGTATACGAACCGATGGTGATAGATCCAAACAACGAAATGATACCCGTATGTTTAATGTGAGGGATGTTTATTTATTTGCTACAAAATAATCTTTACCTTGATTCAAGTACAAAATAATATCACAAATATGTGAATAATGCGGCATTCGTGTTAATGAACTCGACAAACGAATTAGCATGCTTTTGCAAAACATAAGCAGAACATATTCTCTGCTCTATGTCTTTAGATTGCAAAATAAATAGAAAATGATGCTTTTATCTTGAACACTTCCGTTTTAATTTCTCTGATGGTAAGTTAAAAGTAAGTAATAAAAAAGCGAACAGGTGTCTACGTTCCCTAGTAATAAGAAAGACTTAAATGACCGTAAAGTTACACCTACGAGCATAACCTAGTCTTACGAATATAGTCGCTCTAGATTAACTCCGTTATAATACCATTACAGTCCTTACAAATTGTATTATTCCAGTCTACTAACATTGGCTTGTATTGGATGACATGAACCAGTTAACGTGTGTTGACATCTCAACAGCACTAAGGGCACCGAACTTCCTCCACGACACACGAATGAAATAAATTTCATTAAATTCCCCAGTGGGTGTTACCGACAGGCAGTCTAAAAATGAAACTGTTTTAGACTATTTGTGAATTTGATTGCATGTCGTATTGTTTGCTTTTAAACATACTCTGTTCAACAAAAAAATGGTTTGCAAGCAGGAAAACACATGTAGTTCCTCTTCCATTGTCTTTACAATGAGACTCGATAATAACCTACGCAATTTTTTTGCACGTTTGTCACCAAGGGATTGTTATGTTGCTAACAAGAAAAGGAAACTTCATGGTCGATTATACTGGCAATGGTCACAAACGGCAACATTAAACGTATGTTTGATACACACTAATGTAGAGCACATGTACAATTAGTTATATCCAGAGTTATGATGTGCTAGTGTTGAAATAAATAACTACTTATTTCCGATGCGATACAGTTTATGTATTTGCATTCCAATTAATACCATTATGCAATGTACATTTGTTTAAAAAAAACATATATTGCAACCTTTTCAGCAGCGTCACTGTTGGAAAATATCCATTATTTTCAACTGGCATCAGGTCCCTAGGCAGGAGACTATATTTTCAACGCATTTAAGTGCATTTTAAAGTTCAATTATGGTAAATATTTCGCGTAAATTATTTATGAATTCCTATTAACTCCTATGAAATATTGGAGATATAGAAGTCACCATTTGTCATACACTAACAAGCCAGCCGCTATGATATATACTTGGATCAATATCAGCTTCGGTATTTTGGACAAATGTCAGCTTTGGTAATTGCCCCTATCTTGCAATTGTCATGTGGTTCCAGCGACAAGGATTTCACAAGACCATTTATCTACTGATGTCATATATTTTACTGAAAATATCTGCTATGTGTGCATTTGAATATTCTGTCCTTTCCTAGGAGATGTAGTGCCACGATTTATCATATAACATACAGGACTAATTATAGCCATGTCCCTACCGGAATTTTTCATATGTTTCTTAATGATTTGTTAGTAAAGGGGACGGTATGGATTACAAGGGCTTATATGCAACCAGACGAGTATAGCAAAGGGATATTACATAACCAACAGCCAAGTCCTAGAATTATTCTTTGTCGAGGGAAAAGGGATGGATAGGCCATCTACAAAAGTACAGGGGTGTATCTAAATGGTCTTTAGATGTTAAAGTAGTAGAGGAACATTGTAATATGTGTTTGAATAGTTTGCCTAGGTCCTCATCATCAACATTTATTTAACAATCATGAAACGAAATATAACTTAGACTTTAGAGACGTTTGCATCCAGATCACAAATGAGTGAATATTGTATGAGAAAAGCCGAATTTTTTAATCGTTATTTTAACCTGCTTGTTAAGTAAATGTATTCACTAAAAACATATCATTGCCGTTTGAATCCATTAACAACCACAGTGTTTCAAAGGTTGTGAGAAAAATCATATTTAAAAAATGTAAGAGCCAAAGTATCGACATTTAGAAAAATTAATTTGCTCACTACCCAACTACCAACTTTAAAACATTAGTCAGTCATGCATTGTATACGCTTTTGTCAGTTATAGCCAAATACAGTTCCTTGACGAAATTGAAGTGTTATATTAACCTGCTTGTTTTGTAAATGTATACACTAACTGACATTTATTGCATGTACAATGTAACAACATGCCATCACCGTTTGAATCCAATTACAACCACAGTGTTTCAAAGGTTGTGAGAAAACTCATGTTTAAAAAATGTAAGAGCCAAAGTATCGACAATTGAAAAAATACTTTTGCTCACTACCCAACTACCATCTTAGTTGGTAACATTAGTAAGTTTTACATTGTATACTCTTTTGACAGTTATAGCCAAAAAACAGTTCCTTGACGAACACCAGGGAAAAATACGAAAGTGCCGTGACGTTTTTTCCTGTATATTTACATATTTTCAAGTTGATTTTAAACTGAAATTTTTATATAAATAGTTTTCTATTATCATAACGAACGTTTGGTACCACTAATGTGTGGGCACCCTGCTCAAAACTTTGTCTATTGTGTTCAAAATGAAGATTCAAATCGGTATAAATATATTACTCTTTCTCAAAATCTGGCCAAATAAGTTGTCATTAAGTTTGCACAGAGTTAGATATATTTGAAACTGGTAATGGATATTAACAAGGAAGAACAAGTATTAATTGCGTTAAGACAGGTGGAAATACAAAAAACAACCCGTTGTCTCTTAAAGTGTATGTCTCCTACCACGCGGTGGTAGCATTACATTTAAAATATTCGCTGAAATTTAATCTGAAACCCTTAAATATTGCAGACGAAACCCGAGCAAATATATCCTATGACAGTTGTTCGAAGAGAAATGTCTGACAAACAAGGAAACATTGTCAAAATCAAATGATAAACATCATATCTGAAAAACTATGTGAAATGGAAACGATCCAGCAGGCTAAACTGATGTCGGAAGAGAATATTTTTTTTATCAGGAACTGTAAATTGTATGAAGCAGTTGACCAGTTTTGGTTTGTTTTAATAAGGCTTAGTGTCCTAATAACAGCTTAAGTGATTTAAGGACGTACATTCTTCATGTGTGTAATATGCATGTGTTTATTTTTGAATTGGCCCGTTGTTAAAGCACTGATCTGATGCCAACTTTACATGTGTTTATGTTTGAATTGCCCCGTTTTTAAAGCACTGATCTGATGCCGACTTTACATGCAGAGGGAAACAATATTGTTTTTCGATTCCAGACCTTGGGGGATATGTTGTACACGTATACACGTTTACTTTCATTCAACCCTCAGAGAAGATACCACACTTTGCTTATTTATGAATTATCTTATCATAGTGAATAATGACCGATATGTCTCAATTCTAAGAAGTGTAAACACAAGACTAAGCTGAGTCATCGTTGCAATCTTGTCCTTCTTCAAAACATTCTATCAAAGGGAACTGAATTGTTCAGTGTCCTCTCAGATTTTAGTTTTACGTGTCACTGTTCCTTGTCGATACCTTTTTACTAATTCCTCTTCTGCCCACCTGTATACTTACGTTCCTTTTCCGTCGCAGAGGTGTACTTGGTTTTCCGGTACCATCGTATGTTCGGCGTGGGGACCCCGGACGCGTTACAGTGCAGCTCGACCGTAGTTCCCTCGTTTACCACCGTGTTACTACTGGACCATTCTTCATTAATGTCTGGTGCCACTGCAAGGATATTATTAAGAAATGATCGAATTATCATAAAGGCACAAACAACAGGCAATGTTGACGTGTATACGGACACGTCAGTTGCCATAAAAGCTGAGCTTATTTCATTTTTCATGAAATGAAATACATTACTCTCACATTTACAAATAGCAGGTATTCGTTTTACATATATTTATCGATGCATAATCCATTTTGGATCCCTTAATACATGTACGTGACGACATAGAGCAGAATGTAGTCATGGCTCCTTTAAGTCCAGGAGTGATATTCGACGCTTTAAAGATGTGGAAGTAGAAAGATGGGGTTTCAGCTCAAGCTAAATTAAAATTTCAGTCTGCGCGCCCTAGGGTTTTTATCAAATATTACGTATCGCTTTTCCAATATCAACCTGCGATTAAAATAGCATTATTTTTCATTGGTAACATCTCCAAAGATTTCATGGATGGTTCAGACTAGTAATACTGAACCAATTGTATCAAATCGTACAATTGTTAGGACATCACCACACGACGGGCGAACACACGCTAAATTGCACGATTGTGCGAACGATGAGCTCATTATGTGCGCATACTATTAATGTCATCTATAAACTGTACATAGATGTATTTTTTTATTCATATGTAACACTTTGAATGAGGTATGATTGTAGTATCTACATTTTGTAACAAGAGTGTTCAAATATACATGTATCTATCCTGCCTTTTTAACCATAGCTTCATAATTGGTTTTAAGTCGGATTTCATAAGGAGTGAGTGTTACATGTAAAGACCTCTTTAATAGAAGTGAATATTCATGGTTTCACCAATTAAAATTAAACATGCACATGTAATAAAGAAATTTTAATAACAGTAGTGTAAACTACACACTGTTTAAGATGATCAAAGGCTGGATCTATTGCAATTTGACAATCGTACAATCATACTAAATAACGATTAATTTCGCTTTGTTCTTGGTAATCAAAGAAAGTGCGAAATTTTATACACAGTGGATATTATATTCATGAGTTATAATCGAAGTGAATATAAACAGACCAACACAAATATTAAAACGTGTTTAAATGTACCCGCTTACGTCCGAATAATTGAGACAAATTAATTTGATTTGAAACCATTCACTATAAAATAACCTGTATATTGGACATATTCGTTGTTCTGCGAAATTGAATGCCAACGAAATACAGGAAGTTTTGATCAGGACAACCGCAAGATATGTAAGTACTAATTATACAGTACTCATATATTAGGTCCTTAATCGCGGGGTAAATATAATAAGATAGTAGGTTCCTAACGCTCATTTTCATAAGCAGACAGTATGATCTTTCAGAATAATTGTTTCAAGTTTTACAAAGGTTTTACAAAAACTCTACTGTTAGGAATGATTATACTAGTTTCAACAATGTCAAAAGCAAAGTCAAGAATTCAAATATAATGTGTTATTGGGTATTTAGTCACGGGATAGTTTTCGTTTCTTTACATGATATATTTTGGATAGAATTACCTTTATATTACTTACCGTCGACCCTGAGATGAACGGCCTTGACACTGACAGGGTTCGTATTCAAAGTACACCGGTACATTCCCCTATCGTCATACCGAACCTTACGGATGTGAAGATTCCAGTCAGGGTCATATGGACGCTCAACCGACATCCGGTCATCGTCCATTAACCGACGATCTCCGTTTGATATTAATATCATCTTCGGACTCATCCATACCACCTGTACAACAGAATACACACCGTGAGCATATTATGCGCATTCATCGAATCGATAATCCACAACATATAACGATAAACACAATTTTTACTAAAATCGACAGTCATCAAAGAAAGAACCAAAGAAAGAAAAACAAAGATGTAATGTTAAACAAATCACAATGAAAGCAATATAGTACTGAAATGCGTTTCGTTTATTTTACTTGTGATATTTCGTAAATTCTATAAACCGCGATATTTTTTTACATAATACGGCATATGACTGGAAAAGTAACTGACCTTCCCAGTACCAGACGGGGGAGACTTATTCTTATATCATTTTGTTATCTGTAGATTTAATGGATGTCTGCCATCAATTCTTCGACAGTTTTATTTAGGAAACTGATTCTTAAACACCTATTGCAATTGTTTTGAATGCAATGAGGAATTTTAGGGTACACCGTATAAATGATATAGATAACAAGTCCTAAAACAGCTCATAAAAACATCCTATATAGTGCGTTATGTGGGGGTGTTTCCTTCTTACTCTCTGCTTTGACATGCTTACCTAGTTTGTTTTAACAAAATGAAGTAAACGGGAACTTCAACATGTATATCCCCTTATGAATTAGAGGTTTCGATTTAAAAAGAAAATGTTTCACTCATCGTGCCCAACCGATCGTTTAAGCATAAATCAACGACATAAAGCCTGGTGATACATTGGTAAAAATGATCGAGGTAGTATCGTTAGGTCTCAGGGGCCTAACAATTTCCAGGTTTATAGAGCAAGTATTTAATTATTATACAGCGAGGGCGTCGCACTCACTTATCGAGTACTTGTGTAGAAATGCGACAATGTCGATGAAACCAGATTCAATACCAACCCATATGCACAAGAACTTTGTGCATTTTTTTTAAAACTTCCCCCAACACTTTCGAAGGACTTATCACTTTTTCCCTTCATTGTTATTCTTGGGCTGCTGGCACTGTTTTGTCGTACCATTTTTTCTCGGGCACTACTGAGTGTTCCAGATATTCCAATACATAAATCACATAATTAATAACCACGAGATTGACGTCTGGTTTATCCAATGAATAATATATGTTTATTAAAGAAAAACTAGCAGTTTTAAGTGGGTTTTCTTTTCCCGTTCAGGAGATAATTTTATATCAGGCATGAAATTGCAAGTGTGATGCAAAAGATAATAGAAAGGATCCAGGTGACGATACATACAACACTATGCATTCTTTATCACTATTAGGATAAATACTTGTTAAAGCTTCATTCCTAAACTAGACTCCTTCCATATAAAGCAGCTTGCGTCAAAATCGCCAATAAGAAAAGGACAGCAAAATTCATTAGTCACCCGATATAAAGTACGCATTGTGTAGTATATGGAACTTAATATGTTTCAATTGTGTACATGTTTATGTAAAATTTCGTTGATTGTTTACTTTCATGTTTTGAGAAATTTCGTAACCAACCCGAAAAAGAACTGTATTGATAAAATCATGTGAAAGGAAAAATAGGTACAAAATCCCTTTTTGGGTTTTATATCGTAATACTATTTAATAGTTTCTTTGAGTCCCCACTATTGGCATAAATCAAACCAGAATATATAACTGCATTACTTTACATTTTGTCTACCTTAGAGCAAATCAAATGATATACAATTTCTGTATCGATTTTATTTTACTCTGTTATCATCCTTTATAATGTCGCTATACTATAACCAATAACAGCTATTTCCTCCTTTACATTTTGTAATTCATTTATCAAGTGTATTTATGCCAGTACTACAGTTAATTGCTCACTTCCTACATGCTGCGTTAGGAAGTATCGGGATGTATCAAGTTCACAATTATATTTCTTAAAACTGAAAGTTTTCGAAGATATTTAGGTCAATTCTAATATCGTCAGTTCTTAAATCGTTCTTGAAATTCGATTTTGTTCGGATTTTTTTTTTTTAAATGGATGTTTGAGTGAAATACTGTTAAATTGTTTAAACATTATTATTTATTTATTGTGTTGTTATTGAAATCGGCATTACCCAATGACCTCGCTTAATAATTCATGGTTGCCGCGGTCGCAATGCACTTCTCTTGTGGTTGGCCTCCGCTAACAAAATATAATCCGCAAATCGAAAGGTCATGAACCATCCCTAGACAATCACAAATTACGTAACACAGATAATGCTGTTTTACCAACAATGAGAGATTTATGGAGATACAGCAAAAAACATATATGTAGCAATACATATCTAGTAATTCTCGCTGTAGTATTAAATTGATTGTTTACACTTTAGACTTTACATTTTGTTGACGTAGCGCAAGGGATTGGGCAAAAACCCTTGCATCATATCAATACCTTTCCCAACATACACTTACAACATCATGATAGCGATTGAAACTGGCATATAATTTAAGTTAATTGAATACAGTTTGAAATCCAAAAGCCTTTACAGATATGATACATTTTCGTACATGTTTAAAAATGGGATTTTATTAAGGTAAACGGTAAGCTGAGGCTTTCTAAACAAAATTTCTTTTAAATCAACCGGGTCATTCAAATATGTTTCAACAAAATACGTTTTTCATTTGTAAATCGCCTCTCTCAAGATACTAAAACACATTCTAACATGGATGTCCACAATCATAAAATTGCCTATCAATGTCTACCAAGCTGCGCTCATTTGCGTTGCTTGCCAAATTCTAATACAGTTATCAACTTTCAAAACCTTATAAAACAGACATATAATTATTTAACTACATTCTTGTATGGTTTGAAATAAACGTAATTATTACCATCCATTATATTTTGTGCATAAGCATTTTATTCACGTTGTGGGTAAGGAATCATTCATTATGCAATGACGCTGCTGTTTTCTATTTGACAAAATGTGCAAAATACAATATGTTGATATCAAATTACTTCTTACATCTGTCAATATCTAATGCATGTATTCTTAATTGAATTCCGTTATCCTTTTTGTAATGCAAACGAAATTTCATCATTATATTTTGTACTGGAGATATATTAATGAATTAATGAGAGAGAGCAACGATTTCTGCTCTTAATTATTTACTAATTAAATATAAATCATCGTGGTATCACTTCCCATATGTTATATAATTGTCAAAGCCTGAACAACGAAATCCCATCTTATAAAGCAAAGTTGTTTACCATAAGGAGTTATTATTATTATTATATTTTTTCTTACATGTATCATCAAAGTACCGTTAACTCAAAAAAAGTGTTTAACTTTCAAAATGAACTAATGACAGAAAAATACAAAAATACAATAAAAATAAACTAAACTTGAAACAACTGAATGACAAAATAAATAAGAAAGCGTTTGTTAGATACAAATGCCCAACGACCTCGTGGTTGACCTACAAATGGCAAAAGTGACATTTGCATTGACCTCGTGACCCTAAAATGCTAACGTATACGAACTTTAATGAAAAGAGAATAAGAAAAGTCTTCGGTAGAGTCACAATAATAAATTGCATGGTGACGGAATAGACATGGTGACAGTGTAACAGAATATTCTCATACAAATCCTCTGCCTCCCTAACCCGACCCCAACCAGCACCCCCACCATACCATTGACATGGCGGGGCATAACAAAACAAAAAGTCCAGATGAATCTCTATAATTAAGTATACGGATGAAAGTGTTATGGCCTTATGTGAAAGAATGGGAAAGGCTGCAAGACCGCAGACATAGCAAGTGACCTTGTACATTATGACGTAGCAGGAAAGGCGACATGACTGTAGACTTAAATGTAGCAAGTGACCTTGTACATAATGACTTAGCATGAAAGGAGACATAGCCGCAGACGTAGCAAATGACCTTGTGCAATATGACATAGCTTGAAACAACTGCATGGCCGCAGACATAGCAAGTTACTTTGTACAGTGTTTCGGGGCGGAAAAGGCTACAAGACAACAGACGCAATTTGTGTCCCTGTATGACAGGGCGGCTACCGCAAATAAGTCTGCCTCCCCCGTTGTTGTATGCTGGGCAATACGCAATTAAGCTCAATAACACTAGTTATAAGTTGGCTATTAAAGGATTTCCTACTTAGTAGTGGCCATGTACACACTCCTACCAATTAAACATACATTACACGAGTTATACGTTGACTATAAAACGATCTATCAAGCCGTTATCTTCTGTGATCCCTTACGCTAACGCTGTATCCATTCACGGGTTCACCAGATGTTTAAAAGCAAACAATGGGCGATACCTTCAAAGTTTAAAAATCCAAATTGACCAAACATGTAGGAAATTACAACTGTCAAATATAACCTATTCGACATTGTATTACAGATAATGAATAACCGAATGCAGTTTAGTTGCTGTCGACTTATTATCTATTTTAGATAAAAATAAATTTCATTGCTGTAAAAAATGTAAAGGTACACCTCATTTAAAGAAAAGTAGCACACACAAAAAAGACAACACACCACAGCGCCAACAGCAATAACAATAATAATATTTCGAGGTTCTTATATTCCGCTTTATCACAACCTAGTTCGTAGGTCGTCTCAAAGCGGTTCACAAATTATTCTTTAATTCCAGTAATGGACAATATCAGGTAGCAGAGTTGATACGAAAAGAGCAAAGCACCCAAACGAAAGACAACATCAGGAACCGAAAACAAGCCAAAACTACAAAAAGACAACAGTTGTCGGGGAAACACAATAAGGGGCACCGAGGAAACCCAAAACAAGCAAGGATACCAACACATTTGAATCCAAGAAGACATCCCAAAACATTAGGAATCGAGAAAAAACCAAAACATCAAAGGAAACCGAGGAGGGACTGGTATCAAAGAAAATGCAAAAATATGAACCGAGGCAACACCAAAAACAAACGAAACGATACAACGAAGATATCGAAGGCAGATGTTCCTTACGGGCGAACGTTTGCTTAACCTCATGTGGCATTTATTATGTTGAAGTCATCACATCAAGTAAAGTATATGGGTCTTCCTAACATACCCTGCACAACTTATT